CATTGCATTGGTTGTGAAGTGTGAGTGACTGCGAGAGACGTCTGAAGCGCTTAAACCTGTATTTGAAAAGAGGAGAAAAAGTGATAAAAACAGTGCATTGCGTGGCAATGGGGGCGACAATGCACTGAACCAGTAGTTTGCCGGGGAATCGATGCGTGGAGTGCAGGGAAAACCCATTTGATTACAATGGAAATGCCCTGAACTTTGGAAAGACGGGACGACTGAGTGGGGAGTAATCCCCGATCTGGGGATTAGTGGGAAACCGGTGCTCTCGGCCAATCAGGGTATTGGCGGTCGGGGTTGGCTGTGGTGTAGCGCCGCATGTGTTGCAATGGATGTGCGGTGGTGTGCTCGCGCTGTGCCAGTGTTGGCGCTGTTTCACTGGCAGTGACTGAGAGTTCGTCTATGCGTTGGTTGCAGTCATACAGCCATAGAGTGTATGAAGAGATAGACTGTATTTCATAGCAATAGTAGTAATCAGTGACTGAAGACTGTGTCAAATATGGCCGAACCGACCGATTCTTCTCTGGCCTTCTTCTCAAAGGCCACTCCTCAGCAGTGGTCCTATTGTCGCACTCTTTACGAGGAAGTGATCCGACTTAAGGCGATGGAGAGGCGGTCCAAGAAGACGGGGCCCGAAGAGCTCATCAAACTTGACAATTGGTATGTCTTATAGTGTTATGCTATACATTGTCTGTATGTGTGATCACCTCAAGGACAGTGGTGTCCGCGATGATGGTTAGCTGATTGTCATCAACTAATTGTCATGTGTGTGGGGATGGCATCCCTTTCCCATCTCATGTGTGCAATGTTTGTGCCCAACAGACAGACGGTTCATATGTTTTATTTACAGACTCTGTCTTATTATTGATTGTATGGACTCTCTATTCCTATGCTATAAAAAGGGATATCAGTGTTAATGCTATTGCTATGCCTATGCTATGTATGCTATGCCTGTGTTATATCCTATACCTCTCGCATACACTCTATGCGTTTCTATGCCCTTAAGTGGGTTACATGTATTGCAGTCGAGCCCAACACTCACTGCACTGCTATATACCATACGCTCAATCAATAGACAAATGCATGAAATCTATTCAATATATACAACACATAGCATAGAGTCATACGTTTAGCGAATGCAGTGAACGCTCACTCCCTGTCCATAGCTTTTAGACAAACTGTGAGAGAGAGAGAAGGAGAGGGAGAGCTCACTGCCAACCAACACAACTAACACTGCAATACCTTATTGTGAAACACCAATACATTAAAGCATGCATTCATAACACCAACATCCCTGTCGGGCGCCCGACCTGTCCCACCGTTTCTGACCACTTGTCCGCTATATTAGTGCCCAAAAGTGGTGAAACATATATTTTCCAATATTATATTCAATGCTATACTTTGTTGTCCGCCATTTTCCAGTCACTACTATGTCTGCCATTTATGTGCACTTATATTATATGCCTGTATATCCAACGCTATACCCCCAATACATGACTCATTTTCTCACACAAATACATTGTTTTCTGCCAATTCATACACTTTTCCCGATATATTGCACTCGATTGCCACAGAATCCCAAGAAATTAGTGATAAATTAGTGGTTAAATGGTATGAATTGATGGTTAGAGTAGTGGTGGTGATAGGGATGGCATTCCTGAGTCTATGCAGTCATACATATCGTGCGAGCGATAAGTCGTCTCTCTGTTCGCCAAATGCTATGAAATAAAAGTTTTTGAGTTAATCTGAGAGCACATGAGATATCTGTTTATATTTCTCATCTCAAATCAAATCCTCACGTGTTTTCACACCATTTCATCATATCTTATGTCACACCAAATGTTTGGTTTTACTAATTAATTAATATATTAATACATTAATACGCCCTCAAATTGTAATTAGCATTCATGTTTGCATACTATGCAATACAATACTAACTATAGTTTTGTACAGATTTTAACTATATTTAAATATGATTAAACTAAAATTGATTTAAATATGAGGTGTTAGGATATTAATACTAGGGAATAAATATTATGGATATTCATATATGAATTCATACAATAAGTGCTGTATTTAAAGTAGATATGAATTATTAATGAAAGGTTAAGCCATTCACTCGTTTCGTTGAAATTATTCTGTAAATTATTTTTATTATTAATTAAATGAGATGTGAATTAAGAATATTTGATTCGTTCATTGCTTATGGATTTGTAATGTTGTGTATTATATGGTATATCAGAGTAAATGTTTGGACATATTTTGTTATAAATGACTGATAATAGTGAATAAAAAGTGAATGAATATAACAATGCAATCGATGTTCACATGAATTGAATGCTAGAATATATGACTGAATTCACAATCATTTTGATACCTTTTTTGAAAATATGTAATCTGGCAAAAAGTACTAATATTTGAAAATATTTTTACAGATTTGTAGTAATAGGGTCGGGTACCCATTCCTAACTTGTGTATCATTCATTGCTAAATATTTTTAATTTTTTGTATTTCATTTTGATTTGGAAATATTTAGAAAATATAGCAAAATGTGCTAAATATGTGAACACAAGCTTAGCAATGAAATTAATTCACTCGTTTAATTTCACTAATTGTTTATACCCTCAAATGGTATTTTTATTAAATCTATGATCAGGGTACAGTATATATGTCATATACAGTACAGTACTGACATAAAATAAATATTTTTAAAAATTATAGTGTGACTTTAATTGATAATTTCTTTGTGTATAATATAAATGGAAAATTAAATAAAATAGTTAGTAAATAGTATTGCACTACAGATTGTATGTTATTAGGCATTCAATATTTGCTGGCTTTGCATTTTGATCCCTTTCCCAATGACATGACAACCCAAAAGAGTTTTAAATTCAAATTTGTCTTCAATTTTCAATACGACCCCAAGTTATCAGAAAATATTTTCTAATATTATTAGATAATATTATACTCTTATTTGAATTATCATATATATCCATGCTAACTGAATATAAATTGAATTACATTAGATTTTACATATAATTTATAAAAATTGTTTCAATAGTAAGACCATAATATTAAATTCTTTGATTAATTAAATATTATTTATTTATTTTATTTTTTAATAGTTTATACAATCATAATCCTTTTCTATTTAGTGAAATGCTAGAACATTGAATTGAAAAATTAATTATGCTTTTGTAGTGAATAACAAATTGAATATTATTTTAGGAAATATTAATATGAGTTAATGTGTCGATAGGAATAATGTTTAACCGAATAAGTTTGAAACGGATGTCCATTAAATGTAATCACAATTGAAATGTTGTCTCAAACTCTTGATTTGATTGCACAGAATATCGTAAAGTAAAGTATTTTCTCATTAATCGAGAGACAACTTCATTAGACTTCTATCAAATAAATATGATTTTTGTAATGCAACGTGTGTTGAGTTATATTTCAGTTTGAGTTCATCTAATCGTCGATAGAGATAACTATTTGTTCGCTAATTGAATGCAACCATAAATATATATTTAGTGTGTTTTAGTGTTGACTCGTTTCGAGAAAATAATACATAAATGTGTTTAATATTATTAATTGTTATCTAATTTCTATAGTACTCTGTATTCTTATTACACAAACTCTGTTGTTTTTTCTTTGGATAATTTTTGGCTCTGTTTATGAAATGTGAAAATAAATCCCTTATATTTCAAAACCTTGAATTTTAACCAATACTTGTAATGAATACAAAATTCTCGTTATTATATGAGACTCCGACTGAAACTAAATTTATTTTTCGGTATTGAATGGTTATTGTATGTTGAATTTATTTGTCATTTAGTCGTTAACTAAATTGATTTTAATACTTTAATCTAAATGTCAGAGAGAGAGAGAGAGAGAGAGAGAGAGAGAGAGAGAATTTGTTAAAAGTTTTAAGTTTAATAATTTCGGAATGATTGCAATATACAATATTAACACTTTCTGTTAAATATTTTCCTTGTCTCTTGATTTTCATTGAATATTAAGGGGAAACGTTTTCCATTGCCTTTCATATGTAGTTATTTTCTTATAAAAACTTGTTTTTCCATATAAATCTATTTATACATGGTATCCACGAATCATAAAAAGTGTTTTTGTTATTCTTTTTAGTGTGTAATAAAGAATATTCTATTCTATTCATATTAGTAAATATAGCAATATTATTGTGCTAGTTAAATTATGACACCAATAATGGGTTTGATTTCTAGAAGTTATCAAAGTTTGAAATCTATCGATATAATTTGAATTAAAGAAATACTGTGTAACTAATACAAATGTTAAGGACATTTTAAATATTTAATAGTATTTTAAAGGTATTAAAATTTAATTTAGCAATAATTTTGAGTTTAGAAAACTTTTATTTATTCGTTGAAACAGTAAAACAATTTTACCAAAAATATTCGTATGGAATTGAATTGATTTAAATAAACTGGTTAACAGTAATATTGAATTATTGTTGGCATATTAACACTTGATTTGGTATAAAAAGTTGTTTTGAATGAGAATTAAGAGTTAACTACAAGAATATGAAGAATAGTTTGTGTAAAACATCTGCTCTGAAAAACACGATTCAATACAAAACACTAATAAATGTTTTGTTTTTCGCATTCAATTTATATTTAATGCAATTCTCGCAACAGATTTTCGAGATTTATTGCAATGACTACAAAGAAATAAAAGTTTTTGAAACAAATGTGTGATAAACCACTTGTTTGAATGCATTCAATGCTATGCAATGTTTATAATATTTCACTTATTTTTTCTTGACTCTAATTATTGACTGACTTTGCGTTTTGTAAAAATAGTTAGTAATGACTATTACGTAACGTTAGTCACAATGAACTTCTCCGTACAAAATGTATTGTATTTTGATTTGATTTCATAGCATAGATAAGTTGAATGACATACGAGACAGTTATATGTCATTCAAGTTTTAAAACACAGCTCTTTGTGGGAACAGTAGACAGTCGGCACTCTGCCGGTGCTCTACCGGTACTCTACTATCTGTTGGTCTCCTCGCAAACCCCATTGAAAGGGAGAACAGCTGTCGACCGATCCATTGCCTCCATGTCTGCTATACTACCCGCAAGGCTTTCCGTCCACTTCTCGTATACTTTTAGCCATTCATTCATTAGTTTGGTTTCCAATAATTTTGTCTCTTATAAGTTATAACCATTATTTTAAAATGACAATTGGGTTCAACTATTTAAATATTTGTATGTTATATAATTTATCAATGACAATTAATGCATAAACATTTGTCACATAATCTCTGTTTTAAATTGATTTGTGATTTAACCAAATCATGTTATATCTTTAACGATTTCACAATTCAATTATAGACATACTGACTGAAAGCATTTTAAGTCAATTACAGTCTAATTTAATTGTATTGCATTGTTTACATTCATTGAGTTTGAGAATTTAACCCAGTACAGTATTACATGCCATTGCAGTTAAAATATTTAAGAAACATTTATAATTTTTTATTTTTATAATTTTATTGCTTGTTTTATATACTGGTAATACTATAGTAACTATTAATGTTATTTATAATTATGCTGTCTATACAAACAAATCTCAGTTCAATTTTCCCTATCAATGATATTGTATGATTAAATAAAATTTAATAGAATTTAATGTTTGAATATATATATAGTTGCTGTCAATTACTTTGTATAACATTTACTTAAATATAAATTGAATATATTTTAATAATAAAAGTAATCGAATAACCAAGCTAATTTGTATGGTTATGTTTGACAGGTATCAGGATCAGTTGCCTAAACTAATTCATTCGCGTAAAGATCCACATATTATTCATGAAGAATTGGTTCAAATAACTAAATGGAAATTAATGGTAAATACAGATGAATACATATACGAGTGAATAGAATATTTAATATTGAATTGAATGATCAAACAGAGGGGCAAATATCGGCCCAGACTTCTAGATTTGGTGCGAATAAACACCGAAACGGCAGTATTAACCACAAGTAAAAAGGCGTTCAGAAAACTGTATCATCAAAAAAATCTACAACAAGCTATCAATGCTTTGGTTACACTTAAGGGTATCGGACCCGCAACTGCTTCCGGTATTAATCATTGTCTCATTACTTGATTTAGTTTTTACCAGATTATACTATTATATTACTGTTAATGTAATAAATGTATTAATGAATTGTATGTCATGTTTAGCTGTACTGTCGGCCGCATATCCAGAACACGCGCCATTCATGGCTGAAGAGTGCATGTTATCGACGCCGGGAGTCGAGGCCACAGACTATACTCTCGCAGAATATAACACTTATAGCGAACAAATCAAGACTATCTGCGAACGACTTAAACAAAGCGGTGAGTCTTGTCGTGTGAGTTCATGTCATTTGATGTACTGAACCAATGGCTTGTGTGCAGACCCTGAGGAGAAATGGACGCCCAATGCGGTGGATAAGGCGCTTTGGTGTCATTACTTGGCGCGAGAACTCAAACCCGAATTGATTGAAGCGATGCCCGCAGCCGACGGTTCCAAACGGCACGTCATTAAGAGTACAGAGAATAATGAAGACTCGGTCGACACGACAGACATAACGCCGACAATACCGACCGCAACGCTGACGGTGTCGAACGGAAACGCCGCTAATTCTCTGTCGGACGAGAACTCTTCGGGTCCGTCGTCCGAAGTGGAGGACAAGAGCAACGACTCGTCATTCGTGGCCAACAAGAATGGAAACGGAAATATCGGAAATCTCAACGGAGAGGACAGTAAGGACTTCGGCTCCGAGTGCGTCGAGAGCGAAGACTCGCGTTTAATCGCCTCCGAAGAGAACAGCATTGATAACGGTTTGGACAGTAGTGTCGAACCGGTGTTCAAGAAGCAGAGAGTCGACGGGTCTGACCAGTTGTCGGCCGTCGCCGTGGCTGTCGGAGAAGACGCCCAGTTATAGGGTTCAAGCGTTTAATTTTAATTTTCATTATTTTATTTCAATATTTTTATCAGATATATAAACGACAAAAACATTTTTACCCCTCTTTTGGTGGCGTAGAGTTAAGACGAGAAAAGAGTTGAATTTTTTTGACTAAATTTTGAGATAAATTAACGTAAAATAAGTTACTTCTTATGAAATATGAAATTATCATTTATGACAAATGAAATCACCATTTGATTTGTACAATTAGTTACTGTGTATTATCAAATGAATTGAAATTAATGAGTATAACATAATTTGAAAGTTAAAATGTTCTTAATCTTTAATCCCATTGATTGAGATTTGGATCAGTTTGATGTTTTGAATTATTTTTTGCAAACAGAAAACATAGAGAATATATGAATATTAGTAAAATAACATTACAATCATCGACAGAAAATTTTTAAGTTAAATAAACAGTTAATTTATTCATATATTTAATGAGAGAATTGAATCAAATTAAATGTAAAGTATATTAACATTTAATTGAATGGTAAATAAATTTGTAAAAAAGATATTTAATTAAAAAAGATTTGACAACATTATAAACACAAAGAGTTGGTATATAATAATGACATCGCTTTCAATATACACTTTACACGAATATTTGAATATTTCTAGTAATGAGAAAAACAATTACAACAAATTCTCTTTCATCTCAAATCGCACCGTTTCTATTGACATTATTTTTTATATTTACATATAATTATATAAATACATTCAAAATCATTAAGACGACAAACAATTGAATAGTATTTCATTGGATACATTTGAAAAAAGTTAGAAAACAATTTTTGCTAAAAACATATTTTGAAACCTCTTTAATAATTGATTATTAAGTTATTTCAATCACACGTACAGTGAATTTAATAATTGATAAATTCTTAGAGTTTATTACAATATGATTTAATTGGTAAACTTAATGTTTAATTGAAACTTTAATTTTAATAATTTTTATTTTACTACATATAGTTTCGTATCCTTTTGTGATTTTTTCTTATTTTCTAATCATTTGGTTAAATTTAATTTAAATGAATATATTTTAAATTTTATAGTCAATTATAAAACTGGAAAAAACGAATCGAAAGTAATGTTAAAGTTTTAATTGAATTCATTATAATATTATGAACTTAAGCACCAATTCATTTAAAATTACAATTTTTAAAAGAGAATTAAAAAATTGTTAGAATTTTGAGTAATTTTTTGATATAATCTATAATTTATGAAACAATGTAAACGAAAATTCTATTTAATTCTACAAACAGTTATTATTTCTTATATTTTGTTTAATCAGTCCTTAAATTAAAAACTCATTTGTAAAACACAAAAAAAATAAATAAAATAAAAATTTCAAAATATTACCGATGTTTGTTGATTATTTGTTTTAAAATTATAAGGAATATATTAAGGAAATACCATACTTATAATTAGTGGTACTACTTTTATGATCAATATTGCTGTAAAAATTAGATTAATTATGAAATAATATTTATATTTTATATATATTTTATATTTTAAATATATTATATTTTATTAAAAACTAATCCAAGCAAATGACAAAATTTCTGAATTGAGCAAATACATTTATTCATATAAATAATAGTCGTTTACAAATGCAATACATATACTATTAAATTAATACAAATTATGAGTGTTTGAGAGGTCCGTCAAATGAGAGTTTAATTTAAATAATTTATAATAACTTAAGCTCTTCTGGATTTGGCTTTATATCCTCCTTTGGAAAGGGCTAAACCACCATAACCTCCCTGTCCACCAATATCTAAACCAATGTGTCCGGAATCTCCGGCAATGACAGGTCCGGCTCCCAATGCAAGGCCTTTATGTCTGCCCTCGCCTTTGGCCACAACTGTGTGCACTTCTTCGAGAACTGGTCGCACCTCTTGAGTGACTCGTCTGTAAGGTTGGATCACTTCTCGCACTTCTTGGATGACAGGTCTGAGCACTTGATGGAGCACACGGTGTGGTTCGTCCTCAGATTGGGTGGCCTCCACCTGTCCGGGCTCTCCCGGTTGGTGTACCTGTTGGACGAGCACTGGACTCGAGATAGACCTGAAGATGACTTGGACGGGCTGTTCGCTCGGCTCCACTTCTATGATCTGAGGAACCGGCGGTTCTTGTGGAAGGGATACGGGAACGACTTCGAAGGTTCGGCGCGTCTGAATGGCTGCCGGCAGTGGACCGGGAGATGATAGGCCCAGAGGAGCAGCGATAGCTAATCCATTTCCATGACTCAACGATGTTAGACCAGTTGCTATACCACCTGCTAGTCCCAAACCACCGGCGCCCCCATATGCAAATCCATGTCCGCTACTTAAGCCGAGTGCTCCGCCGCCATATGAGTAGTCGGCGCTGCACTGGCAGTAAGTGATGGCAATTGATATAATGAAAAGCTGTTGAATTAAAGTAATGTTAGAATAAACAAAATTGTATCAAGCATCATATAATAACTCACTGATCGAAACATTCTGAAAATCTTATTCATTAAATAAAATGTTTAGAAATATTAGAGAAATTCTTTTAGTGTTTGAAATGTCTTTGCGATGACTGACGACAAACTTAGATTTGATTCACATTTTTATACTGAAAATTACTGCCAAAAAGAGTACAAATGGCATAAAAAATCGTTTTTCTACTAATTAGTCGATCGAAACAAAACTATTTAGTGAAGGAAGTGTTGACACTAAT